GGAGGAAGGTGTGGTTAGCTGTTGACTGTATTTAATATAAGAGATGATATAACAGAATTACAAACTGGTTAACAATGGGGGAGGGGGTAGATATTCTGTCAGGCGGTCAATGAACACCACAAGGGCCTGCTAAGTAGAGAGACTGAAGTGTGAGCGAGCTTGGGAAGAAAAGTCGTGGAAGATGTGGTCCCCACCCAAGGATCTTACCATCTAGCTGGGGAAATGGAACAAATAGACATAAAACAACCTGAGGAGTTCAAAGCAGCAAGCTAAGTGCTTAAGTAGATAAGAGGAAACTGTAGGGAAGGGCTTATTTGTGTGTGTGTGAGAGATGGGCCCATGTTACCAGTGTTTGAAGTGGAGAAAGAAGGAAATGGATTACTTAAAAGTATATATTTCAATTAGACAGATTTGGAAGTAAAACAATTTAACTATGGGCACAGATTTCATATAGGCATCTGTAAAAGACTAGGTGCTCTGTGCAGCATCCCCAACCATCTGCTCCTATTGGAAGTACCAGACAGTTTGGAGCCAGGAAGTTCTGGGTTTGAATCCTGACTTCACTCCTCATTGACTGAGCTCTTGAGCTGTTTCCTTTCCTGTAAAAATGAGGATAAACACAGACCTCAAAGGGTTGTTGGAAGGATTAAAGATTATGCATATAATATACCCTGGGATATGGTGGACGATCAGTAGATGACAGCTATTTCACTCAACATTTATTGACGTAGGTTCTGGCGATACAAACATGAGTAAGTCACAGTCCACAACCCCTCCCTCAAGGAGCTCACAGTCTAGTGGGAGGTGCAGATGAAGAACAGCTAATCACAGAACGGGCGGGAACAGCAGTGATAAACCTGGGCACCAAATGGAAGTGCCAGTGAGGGGACCACATCTGCCTTGTAGGGAGAGAGTCAGAAAAGGCTTCACAGTCCTAAGAGATGACTGAGTTTGCCAGTTGGAGAATGGGAGGAGGCTCATTCCAAGCTGAGGAAACAGCATGTGCAAAGGCAGAGTCCTGAAAACAGAAGGTATGTGCAAAATTATTAGTTTGGCGTAACTGGCGCAAAGGAGCATGGGAGGTGGGGCATGTGTCAGGAAAAGAGCCTGGTTTCATTTGCTTTTCAGCCCCACTTAGTGTTACTTTCGCTGTTGAAATTGGTATTTTGCAGAGGAAATATTTCTTTATTCCCTTTAACTGTTCTCCTATACCTCTTACAAGTCTTAAACTACTCATATTCATGGTTGGAGGGAGAAAAAAGGAATAAAAAACCCACAAGAAAACTTGTTACAGTCAGCTTTACAACTTGGTTCCATGTAAGAACTGAAGTAGTTCCTTTTGAAAGGAGTAAGTCCAGTATCTTAGGATAATTGCTCAGGATCTCCAGACAACTTTGCTCCCTAAGATGGCATGTGGACACCCATGTTTGCAGCATTATTCACAATAGCCAACAGGTAGGAAAACCCAAGTAACCATGGACAGATGAATGGATAAACAAAGTGTGATATACATATATATGAATATATTATTCAGCCATAAAAAAGAATGGAATTTGATACACACTACAACATGAACGGACCTTGAAAACTATGCTAAGTGAAATAAGCCAGACACAAAGGAACAGATATTATATGACTCCACCCATATGAGGTATCTGGAATGGGCAAATTCATGGAGACAGAACGTAGAATAGAGGTTACTAGTGGCTAGAGGGCAGAGGTGGTGGTGGAATGGGCAGTTATTGTTTAATGGGTATATAAAGTTGTTTGGGATGGGGAAAAAGTTCTGGAAATAGTGGTGATGGTAACACATTATGAATATACTTATTGCCACTGAATTGTACATTTCAAGATGGTTATAATGGTAAGTATATATATATATGTTTTTTACAATGGTAAATATTAACCTTTAAAAGACGGCATTTAAAAGACAGCATCATACAAACTCCATATATTTTCCAGGATCAACTGTACAAATAATGGTTTCTTTCCTTTTGCCTGTAAAAAAGAACGTATATGCTTAGGTTTCTGAGTATTTAAGTTATATATATTTCACCACACACACACACACACACACACACACACAGAAAGATAGGTGGCATCTGGGTAGCTTCTGTGGCCTTGTGGGTTAAGGAAGGTGGGATCCTGAGACCATGTCCTGTCGTCTGGCTCTTCTACCCCTTCACCATATCCTTTGCCAGCTGTTGCCCAAGAACTGCAGCTGCTGCAGTCTGCTCTCTCCAGCACGGCCTCATCAGCACTCTCTCACCTCACTGCCCCGATCTCTGGGCTTAGGGCCCCTTGGAACCCCTACTAACAAACAACCATCTCTCCCTATCACAGAACCCCATTTGGGAAGCTCCCTAGTCAGATCCTCCAGGGGAGCTTCTGGAAAAGGTCAACCCACAGAGCCTTGCCCTGCCTGGCAGGACTGTGCTGGTGTGCAATCAGCCTGTAAGAGCCCTGTTATATTATTATCCCCACTTGATGGATGAAAAAACTTAGAGAGGTCAACAACCAAGGTGAACTCAGGGTGCTTTGAGCACAAACCCAGCCCACGCAGGATCAACAGTGGGTGTGATGAGTAAGGCTGGGATTTTGTACTGTACTTGGGAGCTTGAACTTTATTCTTTAGATAATGAGGAGCCAGCAGAGCACCTGTTCCAGGGGAGGTGCTCCATAGCATTTGTCACCACCTGACATAACACATGTTTACTTGTACTTTATTACCTGTTTCCCTCCAGTGGAATGAAAGTAGATGGGGGCAAGGCCTTTGTTTTGTTCACTGCTGTGATCATGCCTGTGAAAGCCTAAACACTTCACATACATCATCTCACTGAATATAAAACCACATGAAGTAAGGACTCCTCTCAACCCCCCTCTACACCAGGTAAAATGTTCAGCCTGGCTGGGCGTGGCTCAGCGGTTGAGCATCGACCAAGGATCCAGGAGATCGTGGTTCGATTCCCGGTCAGGGCACATGCCCGGGTTGCAGGTGTGCAATCAGGTTGGGGGTGTGCAGAGGCAATTGATCAATGACGACACTCATCACTGATGTTTCTATCTCTTCTTCTCCCTCTCCCTCCCTCTCTCTGAAATCAAAGATATATTAAAATAAATACATAAATTTTTTTTAAAAAGAAAATGAAGTTCAGAGAGTGTTACTTTTCTGAGGACAAAAGCTAGGCAAATTGGTGCCCAGCCGGGCATGGCTCAGCGGCTGAGCGTTGACCTGGGATCCAGGCGATCGGGGTTCGATTCCTGGTCAGGGCACATGCCCGGGTTGCAGGCTCGATCAATGACTCATCATTGATGTTTCTATCTCTCTCTCTCCTCCTCCTTTCCTCTCTCTGAAACCAATAAAGATATGTTTTTTTTTTAAAAAAAAGCTAGGCAAATTGGCAAAGCCAGGACTTAAACCCTGGCAGTCTGACACTGCTATACAGCACTGCTGCAGAAAGCTACTCTGGCAGGATAGAAGGTGGGGAAAAGACTTGAGGCTGAGAAAAGACTCAAGAGGCCAGCCAGTTTAGCTAGATAAGCATCTGTGTCTTCCAGCCAGTCCTTGCATAATTTTGACTTTTGGCTTGCCTTCCCGTTCCAGGTCTCCAGATGATGAAGCTGTGACCAAAGGCATCCACTCCGCGGCCGCCATCTGCCCGGCAGCCACTGTCCACACCCTCCAGCCCTGCTTCTCCTTGCTCTGGGGCCTCTCTATGCAGCCCCCGGGCCCTGTGCTGGAGATGAACGCAAGGCCAGGACCCTGGTGTGCCCCATGATGCTCCGAACCTAGCTCCTCAGCACACTTGGGCACGATGTTGGCCAACTCCTCCGCGAACTCTTCTACCAACAGTTCCGACCTCCCGTGCCCCGACTACCGGACCACCCACCGCCTGCACATGGTGGTCTACAGCCTGGTGCTGATCGCAGGGCTCCCGCTCAACGCGCTGGCGCTCTGGGTGTTCCTGCGCGCGCTGCGCGTGCACTCGGTGGTGAGCGTGTACATGTGCAACCTGGCGGCCAGCGACCTGCTCTTCACCCTGTCGCTGCCCGTGCGCCTCTCCTACTACGCGCTGCACTACTGGCCCTTCCCGGCGCTCCTGTGCCAGACGGCGGGCGCCATCTTCCAGATGAACCTGTACGGCAGCTGCATCTTCCTGGCCCTCATCAACGTGGACCGCTATGCCGCCGTCGTGCACCCGCTGCGGCTGCGCCACCTGCGGCGGCCCCGCGTGGCGCGGCTGCTCTGCCTGGGCGTGTGGGCGCTCATCCTGGTGTTCGCGGTGCCCACCGTGATCGTGCACAGGCCCTCGCCCTGCAGCTACCGCGGCATCCGGGTGCACCTGTGCTTCGAGAGCTTCAGCGACAAGCTGTGGAAGGGCAGGCTGCTGCCGCTGATGCTGCTGGCGGAGGCGCTGGGCTTCCTGCTGCCGTTGGTGGCCGTGGTCTACTCGTCCAGCCGCGTCTTCTGGACCTTGGCGCGGCCCGACGCCACGCAGAGTCAGCGGCGGCGGAAGACGGTGCGCCTCCTGCTGGTCAACCTGGTCATCTTCCTGCTGTGCTTCGTGCCCTACAACTCCACGCTGGCCGTCTACGGGCTGCTGCGGGGCAACCTGGTGGCGGCGAGCCCAGCGGCCCGCGACCAGGTGCGCGGGGTGCTGATGGTGATGGTGCTGCTGGCCGGCGTCAACTGCGTGCTGGACCCGCTGGTGTACTACTTCAGCGCCGAGGGTTTCCGCAACACCCTGCGCGGCCTGGGCTCTCCTCTCCGGCCCAGGGCCTCGGCCACCAATGGGGATGGAGGGACGCTCGCCCCAGTGCCCGCTGAGACCACCCGCACCACCAGGCCTGCGGCCGCCAGCCGAGGGCTGCTCAGACATTCCAGTCCCGGGACGCTGACGCCCTTCATCCAGCGCTCCGAGGATTCTGTCCTCTGAACGCACCTCGGGCCCTGGCGCGGTTGCACAGGGTGCGTACCTGAGGGAGGTGGATTAGACACTTGGGTTTCGGGGTGGCAACTCCAGCTCATAAATGCAGAAAGCGCAAAGTGTGGGAGCAAGGTGCACAGGGAAGGAAGAGGGCTGGTGGAAATGTCTTTAAATTGGTGGTGATGGTGAGCATAGGAAAGACCCCTTCCCCAGCCTGTAGGAAGTGCTGTGAGCCTACCAATTCAGAGGCAGAAGAATG